GCAGTCACCCCGGGACCCCTCCCATCGGCGCAGGCACCCCGGACCCCCCTCCCCGGAGCAGTGACCCCGGGACCCTCCCCGGCGCAGGCACCCCGGACCCCCCTCCCCGGAGCAGTGACCCCGGGACCCTCCCCGGCGCAGGCACCCGGCGCGCAGCTCCGAAGGGTACACTGAGGCCCCCGGCAGCTGGTTCGAGGCACCGAGGACCCCCAGGGCGACCACCGAGGACCCCCAGGGGACCGGTCCGAGAGGGGGGCGATCTAGGACTCGTCAATTCAGGACGCATGGGAACCGCAAGCACAGGGGCCCTGTCAAGTGGGTCGGGGGTCACAGAGACCCCAGGGGCGCGGGGTCCGCGCAGCGTCGTACCTCCTTGTCTGGGACCCACTGCGGCTCCTCTAGGCCGAAGGGGCTGCTGAAGGAGAGGTGCTCGGGCACCATGCGCAGGCCGCTGGGCGAGCGCACCAGTTTCTTGGCGTCCCGGCGCGCAGCCACCCCCGAAGCCATGACGCCGCTGTCCGCCGCGGTCCGCCGCCGCGCTGCCCCTCACCCGAGGGCGTCGCCCGACTCGGGCCGCACCCGGCCCTGGCGCCCAATCACCGCGCGCGGCTCAGGGTGAGCACCAATCAGAGCCCGGAGCCCGCCCTCTGACCTCCCAACCAATCTGCACGAGGCCACCTCTACAGAAAATCACCAATCGGCGGTGAGGACCGTCCTTCTGCGGCTGAGACTTAGGATTGGCTAGGCCACCCGTGACGTTCAGAAGCCTCGTCTCTTACTGGTGCAGGCTTCACCGGCGCCCCGTGTTCATTGGAAGAGGCCGGTGAGGGGGCGGGACACTGCGAAGAGGAACCCTGGGCGCGCGGAGGTGAGTGTGGAGCAGGGATCGCGGGCCCGGGGCCCCGTGGTCAGTTGGATACTGGACTCAGGTTGTGCGTCTTGACCTGAGGCACCGGGCCGGGCACGTGGGGCAGGGGGCAGGGCGGGGACAGCGTGTCTGTGTGCAGGGCGCAGGGCTGGGTTGTGGGGCGACGGCGGGAGGGGGGTGTGGAGGGACAGCGCGAACGAGGCGGGGCAGCCCCGAGGAGTCCCCGCGGGATTCAGAGCCTCCTTGTGAGGTTCAAGGCTTGGCCTCCCCCCGCCCCGAGGGGAGATGTGGGAGGTACACTTACGTGTGCGCGCGCGCACACACAGACACACAGGGGGTCGTGCGCGTACACGCACTGGGTCACACACGTACGTGCGCACTCACACAGGGTCACACACGTGCGCACACACAGAGTCACATGCACAAACACGGGGTCACACTACACACTGGATCACACACGTACGTGCACACGCACAGGGTCACTGTACACACACGGGATCACACACGTACATGCACACGCACGGGGTCACACAGCGTGCACACACGTACGTGTACACGCACGGGGGTCACACAGCGTGCACACACTGGATACACACATACGTGCACACGCACAGGGTCACACTGTACACACACGGGATCACACGTACGTGCATACGCACGGGGTCACACTGTACACACACGGGATCACACGTACGTGCACACGCACGGGGTCACACAGCGTGCACACACTGGATCACACACATGTGCACACACACGGGGTCACACGTACGTGCACACGTACGGGGGTCACAGTGTACACACACCTATGTGCACACACGGGGTCACTATACACGCACAGGGTCACGCACGTGTGCACACACACACGGGGTCGTGCACTCAGTGTACACACATGGGATCATGCACGTACATGCACAGGGTCCTACACATACGTGCGCTTGCACACAGGGTCGTGCACATACATGCACAGAGTCATACATGAACGTGCGTACATGGGGTCACACAGTGTACACTTACATACACACAGGGTCGTGCACTTAGTGTACACATATGGGATCGTGTGCACAGACATGGGATCGTGCACTTAGTGTACACACAGGTTGTACACTCACGTGCATATACACGTGCACACCCAGGGTTGTACACACAACCCCTCCCTGGGAATGTTACTGGGGGGGGGGGGCCCTCCCAGGGCAGACGTGGAGGGAACAGTCTTCTCCAGTGGGCATTTTTGGGTGTGGTCTCGTTCCACAGTCTGCTGACCAAGTGTTAGTTTTACTGACTCGGGTTTGGAGCTCTGCTGGCCTAGTGTTAGTACTTCAGTGCCGTCACAAAGGTGTGTGATTGGAACCCACCAGCTCTTCAGCAGGAAAAGATGGGCAGTCTCCTCCTGTGCGATTTACTGCCTTAGAAGAGGCAGGCTTAGCGGAGGCCGGATTAGACAGCATGCGGCGTTGTGTTTTATTGACTGCGCTAAGGCATTTGACTGTGTGGGTCACAACCAATTATGACTGACTTTGAGAAGAATGGGATTCTCAGAACGTTGAATGTGTTCATACAAAATCCATACCTAGGCCGAGAGATGGGTTGTCCAGACAGCAGGGAACACTCTTTGGGTTCAAATGAAGCAAAGTGAGAGTCAGGGCTGTATCCTCTCTCCATTCCTATTCAACCATGAATGAATCATTCAAGAGGCCCAATTTCATGAAGAAAACGTGGCATCAGGCTCAGAGAAAGACTCAACAACCTTTGTTACACAGATGACACAACCTTGTTTGCGAAGAATGAGGAGGACTTGAAATGCTTGCTGCAGAAGATTGAAGACATCAACCTTCAATATGGATTCTACCTCAACATCAAGAAATAACCCCTTATCTCAAAGAGGCAACATTGTGATAGATGAGAAAAAGATTGAAATTGTGAATATTTTTATCTTACTTGGATTCACGATCAATAAATACCCTTGGGACCAGCAATCACGAAATCGGAAGATGTGTTGCACTGGGAAAGTCTGCAGTCAGTGACCTCTCCAGAGTGTTTGAGAGCAAGGACTTCAGGTTAGAAACTAAGGTGCACCTGATCCAAACCATGGTCTTAACCATTACTTACTACGCATCTGAAAGTTGGTTGATAAATGAGTATGACGGAAGAATTGGTCCATTTAAGTGTGTTGGTAGAGTGCTGATATCTCACATTGATGTTGTTGTTGATTGCCATCAAGTTGAGCATGACTCCCAGCGGCCCTGTGAAAACAAAAGTCCTGAAGCCTTTCTGTAACTATTGTTGTTTCTCAAAGTCCATAGAGTTTCCAGAGGCATGTTGTTTAGGAAGTGGATGGCACTCCTCCTTCCAAACCTGTCCCAAACTGGGAGCTCCACCAACACTGTTCACCATGGGAAACCATGATGGCATTTGACACCCCAGTGGCACAAGGTTCAGCATCCCAGCAACCCCAGGTTACCTCAGTACAGCAAATTGACAGAAGAGTGCTGTACCACTTAGAAGAATGTTCCCCCAATATATAACAACTGATTTTTAAATACAAAGACCCTCTTATTTTATTACACCCCTTAAAACCTTATGGCTCAGTTCTGCTCTGTCTTACACGTTCACCATGAGAGGAAACTAATTTGAGAGCAGAGGGTTTAGTTTAGTTTTGGTTTAAGAAGAGCATGAGAAGGCAGTACAAGGTGACACATAAGGCGGTTTCAACCCTTCCCGGGAAATACTGCTGCAACTGACCCATAGCTGACCCTCCAGCAGATTTTCAGAGACAGTTAATGGCACAGGGAAGACTGCCCATCTTCTGCAGAGCAGCTTCCAAAAGAACAAACAAGTCTGGCAAGGACGAAGTGTGGCCAGGGTGCTCCTTGGAATCAAGGGTGCTGTAGTCTCAGCTCATACTCGGGGCATATTGTTTTTAAAGAGGGACATTGTGCTGGGAAGGTGGCGGGTCAGCAAGTTGGATTGACATGGTGACTATAGCAGTGGGCTGGGGCGTATCAAGGTGGTGAGGGCGGCTCACAGTAGGGCCAGATCCGTCGTTCAGAGGGTCACTGAGTGGCAGCAACTCTAACAGCACATAACAGGAACAGAGTGGCCAAGGTAAGGAGTGGTGCTGCCAGCTCAGAGGCAGGTGGTCCAAATCCACCAGCTTCTGTAAGGGAGAAAGATGGGCGATTTCCAGCCCGTGGAAACCAGCTGGAGGGTTAACTGTGAGTCAGGTCCAGCTCAGGGGTGCGTAGCAACAACATTGACCGTAAGTGTGGCATGAGGCTTGAGGAAGACCCATCAGCAACCTACGTTTATGCAGATGACAAGCCTGCTTGCAGAAAGTAAAGAAAGACTTGAAGTGTTCACTGCAGAAGATCAAAGACCAAAACCATCAATATGGGTTACATCACAGCATCAAGAAAACAAATCCTCACCCCTTCACCCCCAGGTAATAGATGGCGAAAAGATTGGTGTTGCCAAGGACTTCTTTTTACTTGAGTACACAACACCTATAGTAATATCAGTCAAGAAATTTAAAACAAAACACATGGTGTTGGGGGAATCTGCTGTTCAGGGGCTCTCCAAATGGCTTTAACTTTTTAGAGCAAGAATGTCAACTTACAGACTAAAGTACGCCTGCTGCAGGCCATGGACTTTCATTAGCTTCATGTGGACCGGACAGTTGGTCAGTGGGTAAGGAGGACTGAAGAATCAATGCCTTCAAATTGTGTTGGAGAAGAGTATCAAGCATTCTGTGAACTGCCACAAAACCAAGCAGATCTGTGTTGCCCAAAGAAGGAAGGATGCGGAACTTGGTCTCTTGCATCTTGAGCGTGTTGATAGGAGAGGCCAGTCGGAAAAGATAGCAGGCTGGGAAGGAGCCGAGGAAAAGACCCCCGTGAGATGAATTTACAGGCTGTTTCAGTCGGCTTGAGCATGGCCCAGCCTGAGGAGGGTGTGGAGAGGGCGAGGGTTGGCAGTAAGTTTGATGGCACTGACCAATCACAGCGCAGGCTTCAGCCTCCCCCAGCCTTCATTGTCCACCCAGGACAGGAGAAGGAACAGCTGTGGGGTCAAAAGCCAAGGTAAAGAGCTGCGGTCAGTGAGATCCCGAGCTGTTTATCCGGATGACCACAGCGGGGCTGCTCAGAGGAACCCATCCCTCACCTGTGCTCTTCCCATTGGGGCAGCCGTGACCCAGCTGTAGGGGCACCTGCCTGCTGGGTGCTGCATTTGGGGGGAGGGGCGGCGCAGAGTGAGGGCAGAGTGTTCTGGTGGGCGGGGAGACAGGGACACGCTGGCCCTGGCTGTCATCCCAAGTCCTGTGCAGTGCCTCCTGCCCGGAGGGCCGTCCTGGTGCCTTGCTGAGGTGCTGGAACCTCACAGGTTGGCTGTGCGCTCAGCTTGGGCACCTCCTCCCCTGGGTGCAGGGCGCGGATGGGCAGCTGGGGGCTTCCAGCTGGAACAATGCCAGCCAGCTCAAGTTGTGCTGAGGGTGTGTTGTGGCTCAGAAGCTTCCAGAAGGTGTGCTAACCCTTCACAGCCCTGGTTAGTCTCCTGACCCCTCACGAGAGTGCTGGGGAACAGGGTGCAGTGTTGGCACCTGTGGCTGTGCTCCCAGGAACTCAGTCACACAGTGACATGTCCC